TTTTATAATTTTATAAGAAGTATCAGAAGATGCATTATATGTACAAATTGTTTACCTATATACATAATTCATATTACAAAAATTCTCGTTTCCAGTTTCGGCGTTTTCAATAAAATTTCTGAATGTTAACTTAAAATTTTAAAAAACGGACACGCCACGGAGCTGAAATTTTGGAGGGAATTCCGCAATTTATCAAAAATTATAATATCTATTTGTACATATTTGTAGTTGCGAATAGGTTTTATATATACCTGTAAAATGTATCCATACCCAAGCAGAAATTTCTTATTTTGAATGTGTTTTCTGTGACGCCGCCAAATATTACAGTTACGTGCAAATCACCCATTTAGAACAAATATAAATTATTTCAACGTTGTCTCCAGATCATCACAATAAAAATTACCGCTGTATTGAATGACAATATTACCTGAATATTTTCGAGCATCGACACTACAATATCGCCATGCTTTATTGCTTCAAGTCGAATATAACGTTTGCAAAAATATTGGCAATATTTCTATGCAATATTAATCTATTTTATTTATTGTTTAGAATGGGCAAGAAGATTGTTAACTGGATGATGTAAAGCTGACAAGGGCCGATTATATCAACATCATAAATAAATAAGATTCCAACAAAATATATATAAAATACAAAAAGAAAAAAGAGCAATAATATAAAAAAATTCGAATTAAGTGAGAAACTTAATAATAATGTTTGTTGTAACTTTTAAAGTTTAATTTAATTTAAAATGTAAAAACTATAATTGTAAAAGTAACAAATAAAAAATTCATAAATCTGAAAAACGTCATTTTCTTTTATCTAATCCTGCTTGGCAATAAAATAGGCCATAAATATGGAAACACTCCAGACGCTACCTTAAGGAATCTTAACCCTACATATACGTGCTTCATTAGCAGGTATAAATCGCACTGTCGAACCTTCTATCAAACTTTTGAGGCTGCAAAATAAACCTTACAACACTATAATCAACCAGAAAATAGGAAAAACTGGACGAAAGTGACAAAATTTAGCCTGATTGTAGCTTCGTTAGGAGCAAATATCTATTATAAGTCGGTTTCAAATGAATATTATAAGATTTTTAAGGGGTAAAGAATTGTAGATTCAAAGCATGTTGAAAGTAGGCTGAAAATTTTGTCTCGGGTCCGTTTACACCTTAAATTCAGCCCATGTATTTCACATAAGTCTGTCCTTGTTTAACGGGGCTGACTCCGCTTACATCTTAAATTCAGCCTCAAAAAGAGGCTGAAAGTAAAACTTTTTTTTAATGTGAACCTTTGTTTATATCATTCCAAAACAAACGATCACATTCTTGACAAATTTTTAGTAAGAACAAGGGAAAATGTATTTTCTCCAACACTTGCTCTGAAAGGAGTACTTTTCTTGGTAGCAAAGTGTGGCGAAAGTAGAACTTTTCTCAACTGCTTTGAAGAGCGTGGCGAAAGTAAAATTTGGCGTGGCGAAAGTAAATTCAGCGTGGCGAAAGTAATTTTTAGCGTGGCGAAAGTAAATTTAGCGTGGCGAAAGTAAATCATGAATTTATTCTTTTTTCTTGTTCTTTGACCGAGATTTATTTTGTATCTAACTTCTTCCCTACTTAAAACATTCGTCTTTTATTATATTAAACATAAGCACACGTTAAATTAAAATTATACGAAACTCACGAAGAAACCTTTCCTCGCAAGACGTTGGAGAAAACGTAGTGCACAACTCGTGGTGAAAGAATGATTTTTCGCCACTAGTTGTACAATGTACTATAGTCCGCGAGCTAGCGACCAAAACAACTATCTCATTTCATACCGGCTAAAAATTTGAGTATAGATTACTGAAGACATGTAAATAACAGAAACCTACGTCTGGCAGGCCGGTGCTGGGGCAGGGGGCGAATAGGTGAAAAATAATGTAAATATTTCTCATTTCATACCGATTAAAACCATCATAACTCGAAAGTTTACATCTATACGAGTGTAAAAATGTACGTCTGGCAGTTCCGGGGTGGGGCAAAGTTCGTCTGGCAAAGGGTTAAGCACGTAAAAAATAGAAAATTTTTTTCTCATTTCATACCGATTAAAACCTTTAGAAATCGAAAGTTTACATTCAAACAAGTGTAAAAATACACGTCTGGCTGTCGTGGGGTGGGGCAAAGTACGTCTGGCAGCCCTTCGAAGATGCGGCAAATGGGTCAATAGGTGAAAAATAACTTACATTTTTCTTATTTTATACCGATTAAAACCTTTATAAAACTAAAGTTTTCATCTACGCGAGTGTACAAAATTAAAAATGTACGTCTGGCAGCCCTTAGAAGATGCGGCAAATGGGTCAATAGGTGAAAAATAACTTACATTTTTCTTATTTCATACCGTTTAAAACCTTTATAAAACGAAGTTTACATCCACGCGAGTGTAAAAATGTACGTCTGGCAGTTCTGGGGTGGGGAAAAGTACGTCTGGCAAAGGGTTAATCACATAAAAAATCATAAAATTTAATCTCATTTCATACCGATTAAAACCATCATATATCAAAAGTTTACATTTAAACAAATGTAAAAATCTACATCTTCGAAGGGCTGCCAGACGTACTTTGACCCACCCCAGAACTGCCAGACGCACAATTTTACACTCGTGTAGGTGTAAACTTTTGAGTTATGAAGGTTTTAATCGGTATGAAATGAGAAAATTTTACATTATTTTTCACCTATTCGCCCCCCCCCCCGACGCCACCCCCTGCCCCAGCACTGGCCTGCCAGACGTGGGTTTCTGTTATTTACATGTCTTCAGTAATCCATACTCAAATTTTCAGCCAGTATAATGAGATAGTTGTTTTGGTCGCTATAGCTCCCGGACTACTATTTTGAGTTTTCGTTGTAAAATGCAAAACATTTCTAAACATCACCATAAGTAGTTAAAATCGTATTATTTAGTTATGGTTATTCATTATAAATTATAGGTTATTATGTCTAGATATGTTATACATGTATATATATCGAAATAATAATAAAATTTGTTTATGTTTTTATTTTTTTATTCAAATTTTGTCCTGTAAAAATTCTGTGGGGTAATGGGAGAATTAGTGTCAGCCCAAAGAATTTTCGTTACTATGTTACGGCTTTTATCCAATTTAAAAATTAAATTATTTGCATTTCAAAAATTTTAATAAAATTCTTGGCAAAATTTCTATTATTTTCAAAAATTTTCCTCAATTTAACGATTTTCAATATCTATTAATTTAATAAAATTACATTTTTCAAAGAAATCCTGTGAAGAATTTTATTATTACCTATTCAGGAAAATAATTGAATTCTTGCAACAAATTTTTATTACATATCTTTTAAATTTAAATAATTGAAATTTTATGAAGAATTTTTTTATTTACGAAAATAATTGAATTCTTGCGACGAATTTTATTACATTTTTTTCTAAAAATTAAATTCTTTTGAGAAATTTTATCTAAATTGTAAAAATATTTGAATTTCAGCGAAGAATTTCATTATTTGTGAAATGTAATTGAATTTTTGCAAAAAAATTTTGAATAATAATTTAAATCCAATGAAAAATTTGATTATTTATGAAAATAATTGAATTTTCTCACACAACGAATTTTATTATATTTTTTTAAATAATTGAATTCATGTGACAAATTTTATTACTTATAAAAATAACTCAATTCTTGCGAAGAATTTTATTAAAATTTGTATAAATAATTTTATTTTTTCTGAAAAATTGTATGGATATTTAAATTATTATAAGTTGTTGAATTTCAAAAAGGTTTGAATTTGAAATTTTTTGAAAATCTTAATTCCTATGAAATAATAATAATAATAATAATGATTAAATATTTATTTAAAAAAGAAGTTATTGATGTTTTGGAATGATTTTACGATTAAAGAAACTCGTAAATAAAATGTAATAAAAGCAAAATTATTTATTTTTATTTAGAGTGAATCAGTTTTTAATTATGATATATCACTTTGTTGATTTCTTCTCGCGTTGAAGTAAGAGACGCTGAAGTAATAGCAGTTGCCTATCTTAAGGCGCTCTTTAAATAAATTTGTATTGTGTTTTAATTTTTTTTAATTTTACCTACACTTTGTTTGATATATATTTTAATTAATAGTTTTTTATACTATTATAAATTATGCGCATACAAAATCTATTTTTATAATTATAAGAGTAATATATTTATTTAAAAATATTTATTTACTTTCGTTTCTATAATAAAAATATAATAGTTAGTTACTGTATCTATCCTGTACACTATAATAAAAATTTACATGCTTATTTAGAAGTAAAAACAAACGAATTCGCAAATTAACCTTTTCAGTCAGATTTTAAATTATCAAGAATATTATAATTTTATATCAATAATACTTTTCATATTAGAAGAACAAAATATTAAAAAAGTTATTCTCAATGAAACGAAATAAAAGTAATTATTTGTAAAACAATTGTACAAAAGTTCAATTTGAAATTTGATGTAAAAGGTTAATTTTCGAATTCGTATGTTTTTACTTTATATTCTGAATAAGCACATATGGAAAGAGATGATAAATTATTAGATGTTTAAAAAATATTTAAAAAAATAGATTTCGTCTATAATTAAGTGTACTTAGATTGTAATTTATTTAAGATCTATAAGAAGAAAATGCGCGAGATATAAATGATAAGATAAACTTTGTTGACCAGTTTCAGTTAATTTGAGGGATTATTATTCAATCATTGTCACTTATGGAGATGTCAGTCTAACTTTAGTTTTGCAGCACTTGACAGTTGCAGCGTGTCCTCAATTATTATTTATGAATTTGTGTACATTGTCATTGGAAAGATTGAGATAAAAACATTTTTTTTTATTTAGAAATTTTAATTGTTGAATCTTTATAGTACAATATCTTATCTTAAATATTAATGAAGAACAAATAAAAATAAATAAACAAACAATAATACAAATCACGTGTTTGATAGTGATATCTAAATATTGTCACGGTTTATTTGGTATTGACGATATTTATAATTATTGAATGGATTCTGAAATGATAATCAGTATTTAGTAATTTACTGAAGAGAAAACCATTTTATTCTATTATTGTCCAATATGTCAAAACTATTCTTGGTGCGTTGAATAACTTTTTTTATGTTTAAATTTAAAATTATTTAATTTTTTTTGTTTTGAAATTTAATTCTTTTCAATATTTAATTTCTTTTTAGATAATTTTTCTTTTATATCGTCTAATAAAATTAAGTCAATGTCAAATTGAACTTGATAAAATTGTTTCTGAAGACGAAAATATCGAAGAAGAATATCGTTATAGTAAACCAATTCCTTATTCTCTTGAAGAAACTTTCGACGGAAGTTTCTCATCGAGGGGTTTCAATGGGACATGGATTTCATCGACATTAATTCTGTATAAGAATTCAAAAACAAAAGATCTACTTACATTTGACGTGAAAACAATGAAAACCAAAGTTTTTCTTAACTCATCGGCACTGGTAAGTTTCTTAGATTTTCTTGTTTCATAATTACCATACCGTCAACCGGGGCTATTTTGTGCACCAAATAGCTTTTTTTTTATTCAAAGATTTATTTAAATTCAGAATTAAGAGAATAAAGGAAATCAACTTTTGATATATGTTGTGGACATCCTTTTGAAGGTTTCCTATAAATTTTGCAAAGAAAAAAATTTTTTTGTCTTAGTTATAGTCATTGAAAGTCGTGAACACAATAACTCCCGGGATGGGGCTATTTTGTGCATCGAACTTTGTTTTTCTATAATGTTGCGTAAACAATTTTTTTAATCGTTTCTGCTTCATGAAATCTTTTGTGTATATATTTGAGAGTAAATTAAAAAAAGAATGACCTAGTAAAATTTTTTTTGTAGATATATTATACAAAAAATGTAAAATAAAGCACTAAAATTTTGCTAAAATCTGGATTTACTAAAAATTAACAATCTTTTTTTAAATTGTATATTACACAGATAGTAAATAAAATTTTTTTCTTTTTTAATATATATTTTATAATAATATACTAATATAATTATAAAATGATCGTTTAAACACTTATAAATAACTTTAAAACATCATTTCAATAGGAGCTTTTTTAATGGTTTTGAATGATATTTTTAAAAAACTTGAAATAAATATTTTTAAGGTTAAATAGATAACAATTTAATATCTAATATGATTTTCAAGTTATTTTAAGAGAAACGAGAAAATAGTTTTAAAACTAATTTGAAAAACTTATAAATATTAATTAATGTTCATTTTTTGAGGTTACGTTGTGCACCGGTAGAGCTTTTAATCGTTTTAATGATTTTAATTAACGTATTTACAGTTTTTTGACAGAAAAGTAAGACAAAAATGTATAAAAATGATAAACAGAATCTTCTTTACTTACTAAATAAAATATTTATGAAAAATATTTGATTTTTTTAAGTGCACAAAATAGCCCCATGGAATCCTGGTTTTTCAGTTTTTTCCACTTTTCTCTTAAAATAATGAATAAAAAGTTAGCGCATTACGTATGTATCATCACAACACAATTGAAAACAAATATCTAACACAGTTTATGAGACACATTAAAACTCTAGAAGATCTGGTATAATTTTTCCGAACTTTCAAAATTTTTTAAACAAATTTTCCGTTTTTAGGAATTTTTTTCTCTTAATTGCCAAAGAATTAAATAATAACATTTAGTGCTCTCTATTGTCATGTAATCAAACTTTCATTTTACAAAATAGCAGATTAAAATAATTCATTTTAATAATTTTTTCCAATAAAAAACTCGCGTGCACAAAATAGCCCCCGGATGCACAAAATAGCCCCAGTTGACGGTATATTTTTTTATTCATTATTTTTTTTATTTAGATATTTAAATATTATTTTTCAAAATAGATAATTTAAAACGTTTATTTTAAATATTAATAATAAAATATTAATAAATTAGAATATTCACAGTTTTAGGACGCATGGTTTGCACAAACTGCGACGTCATAATAATTTAAATGTTCTTAATTAAATAAAGTTTAATTATTAATTAAATAATTTTAAAATTATAATTAAGTGATAAATTTATTTGTTTACCTCTAATGTAATGTTATTCATGTTATTTTTAGTTGATTAAATATTTTTTTATTGTAAGGAAGGCAATCCCTTGATTAATTTGTCTCCCGATGGATCGTATCTCTTAGCTGGTCGTTTAATTTCTAAAGTAAGTTTTTCCATACAAGTTTTGCATACGAAAAATTGAAAAATTAACATTTTTATTTTACAAGTATCTGCTTTGTGAAATGGTAAGGAAATAATAATATAAAAAAGAATATAAAGAATTTTAATTTAATAATTTTTAATTTCTCAGGTTTACAGAATGTCAACTTTAAGAAAATATCGGGTGTATGATTTTCAAAGAGAGTAAGTATTTTATTAAGAATTATTTTTTTAAATTATTTATAAAATTATTTCCCCTAATACAGTTTTTAAAAATTTTTATTCTTTTTCCTATCAATGATTTTTATTGTTCTTATTTAAAAAAATATTTTTCTATTACTTCTATTTATTATAAATTTTCATTTCTATTATTATTATTGTCATTGTTATTATTTTATCATTTTTTTATTATTAATTGTAAAAAAAGAAACAAATATGACACGAAACGAAAAGCGATATTATGAAATATTTCTGAGGTCAAATAATATAATAATAAATTATAATGTAAATAAAAGAAAAAATTCAAATTGTAATTGTAAAAATTTTTGTCAATAAATAGATCATGGTCAGAAATTGCAAATGGTGAAATAGTATCACTTGCTGTATGGTCTTCGGTTGAAAATGATCTGTTTTACGTAATGAACAACGATATCTATTATCGACAAATTGTAAATAATTCAATAAATATCAGAAGATTAACTTTCAACGGTGTACCGGGAATAATTTACAATGGAGTGCCCGACTGGGTTTACGAAGGTATTAAAAAATTTAGAATTAAAAAATTTCATGTATGAAATTCTTATTTAAATTATTTACTTCTATTTAATATGATTATTTAATTTTATTTATATTTAATAAATATTTATTAAAAATTTACAAAAATAAAAGCAAAGGCTACTTTCCTTGTCTAAACTAATAATAAATGAAAAGATAAATATATTTTTATTAAGTAATTATTAAATATATACTTAGGTACTAAATGGCTTTCCTGTTCGTAATCAAATTATAATAAAAAAAAGAAGAATAATATTAATTTTTTAAGTATAATTCTTTTACTTTCTATTAATGTTTAATTTCTATTAAAGTTTAATTTTTCGGTAAAATTGACATAAAACCATTTTATTGTCAACGATAATGCATAATTTATTTTTATGCTTGATAAAATATTACCATTAGAGGATGTTCTCAAGACGGATTGTGCATTGAAAGTATCTTCGGATGGAAAATATCTTTTATTTGCAACTTTTAACGACACGGAAGTAAAAGATGCCGTTTATTCGATTTATGGAAAACCTGGAGAACTCAATAGTCAATATCCATCAATAATGAAATTAAAATACCCGAAGGTATAACAATATTTCACAGTTTAAATGAATTTGTTTCTTTTTGTCATTTTGAAACGAAATTTGAAACAATAATCTTGAAATTTACCATTTAATCAACAGGAAATACAATAATGGTACAAATACACAAGCAAATTTTATTCCAAAGAATAAATATTAAGAAATGATAAAAATTATGAATTTTAGTTTTTGAATTTAAATTTTAATACTTGCTAGTAATATGCAAATTCAGTGTTTGAAAATTAAAAATTTAGGAAATAAAAATTGTAAATTTTATTTTTGAATTTACAATTCAATTAATTGTTAATTCAATTTCCAGGCTGGCAGTACAATGCCAACTGTTACTTTAAATCTACTGAATCTAACGAATAATTCATCAAAAAATTACCAAGTATTAGAAGCACCAGTTGACGTCGTAGGAAGGTAAAAAGAAATAGAAAGAAAACAAAAAAGAAAGAAATTAAAAAAAAAAACACAAAAAATGTAGAAGAAAAATGATAAAAAAGCAAAATAAAATTTTTTTCCTCTATAGAGAACACTTGTTGTACAATTTTGGTTGGATGACAAATAATAAAATCATTGTCACATGGACAAATAGAGTACAAAATATTTCTCAAATAGTCACCTATGATCTTAATGGGAAATCAACATATATTTTATCCTTAAATGAATGGAATGGTTGGCTGAGTCCATCGGAATTATTTTATCACAATAAGGGATATTTAATTTCTCTTGCCAATCAAGATTCTCGCACTTCTGCCGGTAAATTTATGCACGTGACGAGATTGAATTTGAAAATGACAAATAATGCACTAATTGATTTAACACCTGGCACATCTAATGTATTGTCAATTATTGGAATTGATGAGAATACCAATAGAGTTTATTATTTGGCCACTGCTCCCGAACTGCCATCGCAAAGAAATTTTTATTCTGTGTCAATAATTCATAATTCAGAACCAATTTGTCATTCGTGCGATCATAAAAGTCCAGAAGGTACGATTTTTTGTTTCTTTTTAGAAAGTTTATTAATACACTGGAAAAAATTGATTTGATTCAAATTATCGATTACTTATCTATTGTCAAATATAAATAAATATTCACTTAAATCAAAAAAATTTTATTTAAATCAATTAAATGGCATTTGCTTCAAATTCTAAAATTATTGGTTCAAATATAATTTCATTAACTTTATAACTTTACAATTTAATTATTGAATTAGATAATAGTCAAATAATCTATTTAAACATTTTAAATTGTAATTTAATCTAACTATTGGTATAAATTCATATTGCACCTCGCTACGTTGAAATTCTGTGTTAAAAAAATATAAATACTGAATATAAAAATATGCATTTCAAATAAATAAATAAAGAATATTTCAGGCAGACAGTGTAAATATGCGGATGCAAAATTTTCATTAGATAAATCATTTTATGCATTAACTTGCAATGGACCAGATCCGTCAACAACAGTAATTTACAATTCCATTGGACTTGAAATTTTCACCTGGCAAAGCAATCGTATTTTAAGAAACAAATTATCGCAGAGATTACAACCCATTATAAAAGATATTACTCTCACGGTTAATGGATATAAATGTGAAGTCAAATTATTTTTACCACCTCAATTCAATGAGAAGAAAAAATACCCCATGCTCGTAAAAGTGTGAGTTTTGCCTTTTTATTAATTAAATATTGAAAAATTGTTTATTAATAAATAGATTTAGGTATATTTATATCAATTGTTATATTAATAAATAATAATTAAATAATAGTATTATACTGAAAAAAAGTTCTGGAGAAATAGTTTTTTTTATATAGTATTATAGTAATAAATATAGTATTATAGTACCTAATAAATATATGGAGCATTCCATGACAAGTCGGAAATCATTTTGCTTTTGCATCTCAAATTTATAAAGCGGTTCAGGAGATACAGATTTTTGAAAAATGACGTCTTTTACGTGAATTTTTTTTTTTAAATGCTTATAACTCGGTCAAAAATTGATCAAATTGGATGTTTTTATAATGAAAAGTTTTGTTTTCTCACGTAGTTTTTAATAAAAATATTTTTAAAAAATTTTTAAATAATTTACGATAAAATATAGGGGAGAGTGGTCCTAAGTTGGCCGCCTAAGCAAATTGGTCGAAAATAGTAACAAAATGAAATTTAATCACTTCGCCAAGTATATATTAGTGTTCAGAGATCGTTTTGCTATAATTTTGTGGTATTTAGAACGTTATAGAATGACTTTTGTAGTCTTAATACAATAAATCGTGAAAAGCTGCATTTTGGACATTTCAGAAATAGCGGTCCTAAGTTGGCCACCAGTTTTTTTCGCTTGAGTATAAGGAAGAAATGCATATATTCTTTTCAATTACGCAGAAATTTTACAAATTTGATACATTTAGGAGAATAAAAACGCATTATTTAACTATTTTTGTTCAGAAAATGAAGCAATATTTTATTTCATTTATTTGCAGTGGTGGATGGCTGTAGAGACAGGCGTTTTTGTACTTCATTTTTTCTAATGTTTTTTAAACCATTTTTTTTGTTTTTTGTCTTTGTTTAATTCCTACGTTACACTTTTACGGTCTTCCTCGTGATGAAAAACACAAAAAAGAAATAAAACATAAATGAAAACAAACAAAAACAATAGGTGGCCAACTTAGGACCACTGTAGATTTTTACAAGTTTCAAATTATTACGCTAATAAAAAAAATTTATTTAAAAAATCAACAGAACCTCTTATTACAACATTAAATAAAGGAACTAGCGCACACACTTATTTAGAAATTTTTAATTATTTATCTCTTGTAGCTGCTCTCGAAAAAACAAGAAAAATCAAATTTTTTTGGTCAAAAACAATATTATTGTCCTCACAATGCGTAGAAGAATCTTAGATTATAATTAGGTTTATAAATTATATCATGGTTTATCAATATATCATACCACAAAATTATAGATTCGTCCAGTATACCATCTCTGAGAAATGCAGGGTGGCCAACTTAGGCCCACGGTCAACTTAGGACCACTCTCCCCTAAAAGTTTTTAAAATAAAATTTCATTTTTAACAATGTATATGTATGGATCAATTTTTAAAAAAAATTTTTGTAAGAAACTAGTAATAAATTAAAAATTTTTAAGCCTTGTCCGATCGTGGGCAAACGATAAGATCTATTTATTTGAAATTTTTTAATTTTTATATACGCAGTGGTGGCCAATGATTAACTTGCCATTTGACAAAATCACACAAATTTTTCACAGCAAATGTGTTTTCCGACTGAGTCTCTCCAAACTTAACCTTCTTTCTGGGTAAAATTGTGATTTGGTCAAATGGCAAGTTAGGCCTACCGTTTTCACAGTGAATATAAAAATTAAAAATTTCAAAATAAATACATCCCATTGTTTGCCCACAATCGGACAAGGCTTAAAAATTGTTAATTAAGCACTAGTTTCTTAGAAAAAATTTTGAAAAAAATTTATCGATACATACATTGTTAAAAAAGAAATTTTATTTTAAAAATTTTGAAATCTTATCGTAAATTATTTTAAAAAATTTTAAAAATATTTTTATTAAAAACTAAGTGGGAAAACAAAATTTTTCATTATAAAAACGTCCAATTTGATTAATTTTTGACCGAGTTAAAGGCATTTAAAAAAAAAATTTACGTAAAAAACGACATTTTTCAAAAATTTGTATCTCCTGAAATTTGAGATGCAAAAGCAAAATGATTTCCGACTTGGCGTGGAAAGCCCCATATATATAAATACTATATAGTAATTTTTATATAGTATTATAGTAATAAAAATAATAGAAGTAATTACACAGGAATATACAAGGTTTTGGGCCCGAGCAACAGAAATCTGTTTCTAAAATAAATTTTAATGGAGAATTTGAATTTACAGTCAGTTTTTTTCCTACAAGACAAGTTTTTACGAAATTTGCAATTTATTTTTCATTAGGGGGGACTAGGTGCAGTTGTTACAATTTTGATAAAAACAGTTACTGTGATTAAAGTTTAACTCCAATTTGTTTGCTCAAACGATTAAATCAAAGATATATTATCTAGTTTTAAAAGGCCATAATTGATTTAGCTCTATATCTATTATTTAATTAACTAGAATCATTTGAGTGACAGCGTGTAAATTGTAACAACTGCACCAAGTGAATGTCGGTTGTTAAAATACCAAAAATCATCTATAAAATTTATAAATTGAAGACAAATAATTTTTTATAACCATTTTTATTAATTATTTATAATTTTTGGCTCAACGTAATAGTACGTGACAGTTTCATAGAGATGGCAGCATTAATATTGTTTAGAAGTGAAAGAAACTTAAAAAAAAATTTTTTCATTAATTTTGAAGACGAATTTAGAAAAACCATGAGATTTTTAATAAAAAATGAGTGTGATTACATTTTTGACAAATATTTTACATTTTAAACGAATCTGCTGAATTTTGGAAAAAATATCCGTTCTCATTATCACTTGTAACAACTGCACAACAGGTACATTTTTTACAATAAAACACTTTATTAAAAAAGTATACATTAAATGTGGACAACCAAGGCAGTTTTTTAAAGCTTAATCCTCATAGAATTGATATTAAAAAAATTTACTTTGTTAAGTATAAAGGTCTATTAATTATTTAAAAAGTATCAGGCAGAAGAATATTTACTTTTGGCCTCTAAAAACCAATGTGCCTATTTTTCTACTTGTAAAGCTTGTATATAATTTTTAAACATATTGCAGTAAGTTCGTACATAAAAACTAAACATTTTTCTCTTTGGAACCCCATCTCTATAACTAACTGTTTCTGAGATATTCCATTTGTAACAACTGCACACTGTAACAACCGCACCTAGTCTCCCCTACTGTTAATAATTTTTACTGAAAATAAAAATATATTACTTAAAAACAAGTCATAGTCTGCTTTTAATATTTTTAGTATGGCTCATTACGATTCCGACGTTTGTTTTTAAGAATTCAAAATGTCGGATCCAACATGGCGTCTGAAGAAAATAAAAACCACTCGGATTTGCTTGAAACTTGTTACTCGAAGATTTTTAGGGTTTTTGGTTACGAATATGATTTTAATCTTTCAAAACGACCCCAAAAATCCCTGAGTAATAAGTTCCAAAGAAAATTGAGTAATTTCATTTTCTTCGTCCGCCACATTGGATCCGCCATTTGGAATTTTTTAAAATTAATTTCAGATTCGTAATGAGTTGCCTTTTGGGTCTAAAAGTTGAACCGAATTTATAAATCTGTGTTATTATTACCATTGTTATTGTTATCATTAATATTATTTTTGTTAATATGATAACTATTATTATAATAATAGTTATTATTCTTAATATTATTTTTATAATTATTATTAATAACATTTTGGAGTAGAATTAAAATTATTTAAACAATATTTCAGTTGGTTGTCTAAATTTCTATTTTGCCATCTTTTTGTTTGGGATTATTTAAATTTCCTTTTATAAAATTCTAGAATTTATGTTAATGTTGTCATTTCCGTGCATATATAGCTATGCTGGACCAAATTCAGTGAGAGTTGTGGATGCTTTTTCTCAAGGACTGGAACATTACATGACAACAAATAGAAGTACTATTTGCGCTTTAATGGAGGGTAGAGGAAGTGGAAATAAGGGAAGTAAAATGCTTTTTGAAATTTATAGAGCTTTGGGAACAGTTGAAATTCAGGATATAATAGATATAACAAGGTAAGTAAATTTTATCGCGAAATAACGTATTCCTTGTTTTATTTTTCATTATTTTCTTTATTTATTCAAGTCGGAAATTTTAAATTTACCAAGAATATTCTTTTGATTTTTGGCTCTCTGTAATTTTTTTTTTAGTTGTGAAGTTTTAGTTGTGAAATGTTCAAGTCACATTATTCAAGACACACAAAAAAGTAAAGTTCCAGATTTTAAGTAGAATAAAAATTTCTAAGTGAGACAAATAAAACGTATAAGTGAAATTTTTACTACTAGAAGATTTTTAAAAATATTAATATATATTTATTTAACATTTATTTTGAAAATATTTGAAATTATAATATTAATTCTTTAGGAATTTGCAAGAAAAATATTCGTGGATTGATGCAAATAGAACTTCCTTGTGGGGTTGGAGTTACGGTGGTTACGCAACGGGAATGGTTTTAGCAAAAGATGTAAATTCCGTTTTTAAATGTGGCATTGCTGTCGCTCCCGTGGTTTCTTGGATTTATTATGGTAATTTCAATCCCCCCCCCCCGCCTCTTAAAAAATTGAAGAAAATAAACCCCGGAAAATATAATAAACTATCATTTTTCCAACAAAAATTTATAAAAAAGCATTTTTTTCTCACAATTTCTTCGCTCGTAACTTTTATTTATTTTTTTCTACACTAATAATTTAATATATTTATACTTATTAGAATTTATTTTATTTTTATTTTACAGTATCTGACATTTTATATTATTTCTCATTTTTTACTTCTATTCTAATTTCTAAATATATTTTTTTTTCATATATTTCTTATTTTACATTTGTTGCCACTTCTTATTTTTCTTGTTTAAAATTTTTAGTCATTTTATATTTTTTTATTTACAAATTAAGTTTCATTAAATCGCAAAATAATAATTACGCATAATGTTTCGTTTGAATAAATTTGTCCAAATAAAGAATAATAATTATAATCTATACCTATTTATAACTAAAAAATTATTAATAATTAATAAAATGAAATTAATTTACAGCTATTTTTGAAGAATTTAATTATAAATACTTGTGAAACGAAATATAATAATAGGGAATTAATGACTTTTTATAGATTCTATTTATACCGAGAGATATATGGGATTGCCCACTGATAATATGGCCGCATACAATGAAAGTGACTTAACAAGATTAGTCGAAGGTATTCGTGGAAAGGATTTTCTTCTTATTCATGGCACTGGTGACGACAACGTTCACTTTCAAAATTCAATGGCATTGGGTAAAGCTCTCGCAATGAAAGATGTTCCCTATCGAGAAGTTGTTTATCCAGACGAAACACACAGTCTTTCTGGTATTTCTTCACATCTCTATCATACGATTGACAAGTTTTTGGAAAAGTGCCTCAAATTAACTTACACTCTGCCCTAGCGTGAATTTAATACTTATAGCTAATTTTATAATATAGAATAAAATAAAAAATAAAATCAAAAAAGTGCCTCAAATTAACTTACACTCTGCCCTAGCGTGAATTTAATACTTATAGCTAATTTTATAATATAGAATAAAATAAAATAAAAATAAAATCAAAAAATAAATATAATTATTAGAGGTGTGCAAAAAGCTCGAAACCCGAAGCTCGAGCGGGTATTTTCGAGCCGAGCCGAGCCTATTCAGTTCGAGCTCGAGCCGAGCTCGGGCCGAGCCGAGCTTTATAAAAAGCTCGAATAATTTCGGGTACTCGAATTTTTCGGGTACCCGAAACTTTCGGGTACCCGAAACTTTCGGGTACTCGAAATTTTCGAGTACTCGATTTGATTCGAGCCCTTGAGAAAATCCAAAATTTTCTACATTAATTTTTAATTAAATTTTTTTTTTTCAAAAAAAAAATTTTTTTAATTTAAAAGCTCGAATTAAATCGAGTACCCGAAATTTTCGAGTACCCGAAACATTCGGGTACCCGAAATATTCGAGTACTCGAGTGAATTCGGGTACCCGAATGTTTCGGGTACTCGAAAATTTCGGGTACCTGATACATCGAGCCCGGCTCGGGCTCGGCTCGGCTCGACTCGAAAAAATTGCGGCCCGGCTCGGCTCGGCTTTTCGAGCTTTTTGCACACCTCTAATAATTATATGAAATGAAACATTGCAGTCAACAATCACTTTGAATCGAGGTAAATGAAAAGAAAAATTAATATATATTATTAGGTAAGAGATAAGATAACATAATTATAATATGTAGATTTATTTTTTATATATTATACACTGAACAGAAAATTTATCAGTATGTGCTTTTTACTTAGGCATAAAATAAAATAAAATAAAATAAAATACCATTCAATTTAATTAGGGGAAAGGCTTGCAGGTTGTCCCACTTGCGTTATTTTTTATTGTAGAAGTGCCATAATTAAAAACGCGACTGATATTGTTGTCAAATGATTAGTTATTACTTTCTATGATCTTTTGGAGCAAAAAGAAGCAACAAAAATGTTCTTATTAAACAAATTCTGAAATTGACTTGTGGAAAAATTAAAAATGCCACTTTCTCATGTGCTAACAAATGAAATATTTTTATGTTACAATTGAAGCGTTTTGTGCAGAAACCGCATAAGTCCATTTTTTTCGAAAATCACTTTTTTATTGAAAATTTATCTTCAAATGAAGCTTTTCAATCTGGTAAAATATTACATAAGTGACTAAACTCTAAACCCTTAAAAAAATAATTAAAATATCATTTTGTGCAGAAACAGCACAAGTCCATGATAAGTTTTATATTTATTTGTGATATTCTTGACGTATTTTAATAATTTATATTAAACAGTTTATATTATAAATAAAAACACTCATGGGAAGCAAAAAGTGACAGTGGTGACTGAATTATTTTAAAATTAGAAAATATTGAAAATTGGTTAAATTTATTCTTAAAACAATTTTATTATTTATAAAATGTTACTAAAAATTATCCAAATTAATTTTAATTTTAATTTTAATTTTATCCAAATTAATAAAATTGAATTTTCGCAAAGTTTTTTGAAAATTCTGAAAAATAAGATTTTTGAAATTTTTAAATTCTGTTGTTTCAAGATAAATGAATTTTTATAAACAAATAATTGAAAATTTTTGAAATAATTGAAATTTCTTAACATTCTATTAAAAATAATTAACTTCTTTTAAAGAATTTTATTTAAAATTTTCTAAAATAATCAAGGGAAGTTAGTCACCGTAATTATAATTTTATTTTTAAAAATTTCTTCGCAATATATATTCAATTATTTTCATAAATAGTAAAACTCATTACAGAATTTCAATTATTTTTAATACAATTTTAATCGAATTCCTCGAAAAATGTAATTATTCTAACAAATTTTATTAAAATTCCTCGAAAGAATTCAATTATTTCTAGAAACTGTAAAAAAATTCTTCTCAAGAATTCAATTATTTCCATAAATAGTAAAATTCTTCAGATTTACTAAATTCTTTTGAATATTATTTAAAAAAAAAATTCTTCACAAGAATTCAATTATTTTCATAAATTTCCATAAAATTCTAAAAAACAATTTAATTATTTTCAAAAGTAATAAAATTCTTCGCAGAAATTGAATTATGATAAATTTTTTTTAAAATTTTCCTCAAAATTTCAATTATCTTTATAAATAATTAAATTGTTCTCCACAATTCAATTATTTTCAAAAAATTTAATAAAATTCTACGCAAACATTTAATTATTTTCATAAATAATAACATTCTTTTAAAAGATTCAATTACTTTTATGAATAGTAAAATTCTTTGCAGAAATCCAAATCTATACATTTTAATAAAATTGAATTAATAAAATTCCCAATTATAATTATAAACAGACAAGATTATTTTAAAAAATTGAAAAAATTCTTTGTTTAATTCAATTTTTTTCTAAATTTTTAATTAAAATTATTAAAAAAAGACATTATTTTCAAAAAAATTAAAGAAATTCGTCAAAAAAGATTAATAAAAACTTTAATAAAAATTTTGGAAGCCATTTGTAAGTTCGAAATCGCAAATAAATTTAAATTTGATGAGAAAAAAACAGGGAAAAATGAGGACAAAGCCAGGAAAAAACCGGGAATTTTGTTGAACAAAAATAGTAGACACCCTGTAAATTTATTGGAGTTGTTCCATATTATTATCAATTTTTCAAGGTGGGTCAACCTGCAAGCCTAAATTTCGAAACGTTAATTTTATAACATTTTTAAAATGTTAAAAATTTTATTTTATTTGATGTAAAAATTTTATTTTTTGCCAATTTAAATTATCTATGGGACAAATATGTAGCTTTTAAGGTCTTCTTTCCGATGGTATGTTCATATAAATTAATTTTTTTTAATAAGTTATGAGCAAAAAAGCTTAGGTGTGGCAACCTGCAAGTCTTTCCCCTATAATTTTATTAGGTATAGTAAATTAAAATTATTATACTTTTGTTATAATTTTATTTTATATTTAAATAAAATAAAATTTTCGTATATTTTTATTTCTATACCAAAGTGTTTTAATTAATTTTAATAAGGGAGGTAATTTTAAATTTTTTGCATTGCCAATAGTTAAATCCATTTGAAATAAGTACCTAATACTAATAAATAATTATAATATCTTATAAATTTGTGAATTTATAAATAAATTAATAATTATAAATTATAATTAGACAGAAGAAGAAGAAGAAAAAGAGGCTGAGAGGGTTTTTTTGAATACCGAAACATTAATTAACAATTAAAAATACATTTTAGGCCATGTTTATTGGTTCGAGTTGGTAGGATACATCAAGTTACAATCATTCTCTATAATGCAATTTTGGTTTTGTTTGAATGACTTTTTCTCTGGACATGCACTTACAGGATATTTCTGTTTGCTTTTTAAGAAACATGTCTATATATTATGTCGTTCAAACATATTCCCAATGATTGATTTTCTTAAGGCGTACACATTTTTATTTATTTTTTTTTTAATTCTACTACAATTTTTCAATAATGTAGACGAAATATTAAAAATGTTCTATAATGATTTAATGAAAGACGTCAGTTCTCATTTTTGAATTAAAGGCGTTTAATATCATTTTATGCTCTTCTTTTATTATTACACTAATTTTAACTTTTTTTTCTGTGAAAAATCTCTATGTGCCGCTCTCTGTTTTTTTCCGACAATCTACTTCTAAGTTTTTTTTTTGTTATTATTGAAATTTTCAGAACATTGAGAAAAATACTTTTCCTTATTTTGCGACAGAGAACATTTTATTTTGCTTTTATTTGGTATTTCTGTAGAAATAAAATCTTCACTTCTTCATTTTTCAATTTTACTTCCTTCGGTTCAATTTCTATTTCATACTTTAATTAAATTGTATTTTCTACCAAAGCATCATTTTTTATTTTTGTAAAAAATGTCTTTTTCAAGCTGGGAATAATTACATTCTCATTATTTTTAAACTGTTTCAACAAACTTTTCCAATTCAAGACAATAGTGAACTTTATCATGAAAATTAATGACAAATTATTTCTTTTCCTAACGATTGTAATTAACAATAAGAAAATTACAAAGAAAAAAAATTTCTTTTGAGAAAATTTGCGTAGACATTAGATAAAAATATGCATATTTCGATATATATATTTTTTTGTTATGAATATTTTCTATAGTGAATAATTGTTTTTAATTGTGCATATAATAAAACTCAAGATTGATATTTTTAGACAATTTCACAAAGTGTCGATTTACAATATAAGAAACAGTCAATTATTGTAATGCAATTACAATATATAATAAAGTATAATAATAATTCGGAAAAATTTGGAAAATTATTTCAAAATATATAGGTAATACAAAATACATAGATAACACTTTCTCGTATTTTGAAAAATACGTATAATTAACTCTCAGTCTTTGATTATGTTTTTCTGAGTCACATTGTATTTTATTTATTATTATAATTATGATTGTGTTTCATAAAATAATTAATATTTCATGAATCAATAAATAAACAAAAAGGAAAATATTGTAATATATTATGTTTTGTAAAATTCGTAACGTATGAATGAGATGTAAATAATTTGTAAAAAAGTAAAAAAAAAGGAAAGAGGAAATTAAGCATTTTTTGCGATAATAAAATTTTTTAAAATACATTTTTTTAATGAGAATAAATTCGAATTTTTTTCTTATTTTTTTGTTTGCTTTTATCAATATATATATATATTTATTGCACGTGCTCTACTTTCTATAGGTTGCTCTTACAATAATTTTACTATTTACAACAGCAATGTCGCTTTAGATGAGCTGCATTACACTTTTCACAAAACTTCATTTTTCTGGTTAATGACTAATTTCATTATACATGTTTTTCAAAGGCTGTATAATAATTTATTTTGTGAGGAATGCATTTTTATTTTAACGGTAGTATTGAATTTGATTCAAATGCAAATTTTTTGAATCACATATACATTTCTAAATGGAGTTTCATTTATTGTGGCATGTTTATTTTCCTTTATTTTTTTTATTACAATAATATTTCATAGAATATTCAACTTCTACTAATTTGTAAATTTTATTCGCAAACTAAAAAAATAAATAAAAACTATTTTACCTTTTTTTCGTTTGTATTTGTTTTTTTTATTTTTTGTTTTTTATAAATTAATAATATAACTGAATGAATTTTCAAAAATAAAAAAGAAATTACGATTTTATTAATTGACTGATGAATCTTTTGATTGTTTTGTAATTTTTTTTTAGTATTAAAAAAGTAGTCATTTTACAGTTAATAAATAATAATTTAATTAACAGTCTAATTTATTTATTAAATTATTAATTAACTGTTGATTATTTCTGTTATTATAATAAAGAATATTCTGAATATTAACTATTATTGATTAACTAAATCGATTAATATATTAACAATATTGTTAATTATATGTCATTATATAATTATACAATTGTATACTATAAAAATTAATATCGCGACAGTATTAATTAATTAATTAATTAATTATGTAATTGATTACATTGCTAATAATATTTAATATTATTGAATATTAATTAATAGAATTATTAAATATTAATTATTATCATTGAAATAATAATTAATATTAAAGAATATTAATTAATATGATTAAATATCAATTAATATTAATGACTATCAATTAATATTATTAAATATTAATGAAAAAACAACAATAATAACGCAATTAATTGCATTATTAAAAACACGATTAAATTCACAGATAAGTGAATTAATTGATTGACAATTTAATCGATTAACGAACTGATTGCTTTGATTGATTAATTAAAGTAGTTATGGTAAAGTGACTATGTCAGTTTATAATAGATTTCTGTCAAATATTGTTATCTTATAACAATAGAGATTGAAAATGATTAATTAAAATGCGTACAATATCATTTTTTTTATTATAATAATAAAAATATCGTCTTTTAAATCGGATTGTTGTTTTCTTTTTTTTCTCTCTTGTTTTTGCATAGAAACATAGAAAATTAGACACGTTCAAATTACATGATGAATATTTTCTTACAATTAGTAAATAACAGTACAATGTGCGCTGGGACAATTTACAATATACGTTAACACACGTATCTCGTCGATTCAATATTGACGATTACAATCCATTGATTATATACTTTCATATGTTTCGAGACAGATTCCCTCCGAGAATCAGGAATTAATTAAGTAGAGTGTAGATAATTTAAAAAATTGAAAAACAAAAGTTCAAAATCAGGAAAAAAATTTCTTTTTTTAATTTTGACTTTTTCTTGTAATTATTTTCTTTCTCTTCTTTCGTTATACAATGCAAAAAATATATATTTCTCAAAATTTTGAGAGAAAATTTCTATATAATTGCAAAGCAAAAGAAGAATTTTATTTTGGATTATAAATATTATAATATAGGTAATAATAATTTTATAATAATAGAAAAGTAAAATTGTAATAATTATAATAGTAAGAATAGTAAAAATAAAAATAAAAAAAATAATATTAATATAATAGGGGAACATAGTCTAGGTCGGCCACCTTTTTGACTTTTGTTTATAACTTTTTTTTAAAAATGAATTTGGACAATTGAAGTATATGGTTGGAAAGTCCTGTTTAATAGGAACATTTTTTCTGTACAAAGTAAATTGACAGGTTTAAAAATGAAAAAGTTATAAAGATTTAAAAAAAAAAAAATTTGTAGTCCAGGTTGGCCATTACAGTCAAGGTCGGCCATGTTTAAAATTCAAAGGGCATTAATCGTTAAAAAAAAAAATAACATGTTTGGAGTTACGGAAAATTGATTCTTTATTGTTTACAGCTTGTAACTTAATGAAATAATAAAATAATAAAAATAAACAATATAAAAAAGTAAATATAAATAAAAAAAAATTTTGCACTAAAATATTAATAAAATTAAATAAAAATATTAATAAGATGATCAATTATATTATGAGTTATACAGAATTGCAGTTTTTGCAAATGAAGTAGCTCGTCCTCAACTTTGCGCATTTTAAACACATAGTGGCCGACCTTGACAGTAAGTAACATTACCGAATTGTTGTAACCATAAAGAAATACGTTTCGGGATTCGATTTTTTACTTTGTTTTCCTTTCAACCATGAGTCCCACAAATTTTCTGCATACTTGCCTTGACGATTCAATTTGTTTTTTATCTTTTATTAATGGTTTTTCACATTATGCACAAAACTTTTTTTGAGCTTTTTTTGTACCGACGTCACAGAAAACACAATTTTCGATTTTCCGAAAATGTAATTGAACAAAAAGTTAGGTTTCACTAAGACAAGCTTCGACAAAAATGCGCGTAGGTGGCGCTAGTGAACTTGACAAAAAAACGCGAGTGGCCTACCTAGACAGTAGGCCAACCTTGACTACATTCCCCTAATAGTAATCTTATGCACTGTAAATTATTTGAAAAAAATAACTAAAATTAGTCGCAATAAAAGCCGAAGTAAAAATTACTCTATAATATGTACAACATCGAAAAATTGTAATCTCGTTTTTTTTAATCTCGTTAATGGTGAATAATTTAATTTTTACATTGTTAAATAATTAGCACCTTTTAAGTCAAGGGTCTTTATTTTTACTATCACAAGGAAGCAAAATATTTACGAAATATTTGGATTTAATTAAAAAATTCCTTACTTTGAACAATTGAAATTTTTTTTTTCACCACATTTTTTCTAGATATTTAAAAAATAATTAGGAAATACATTTTTTTCACCTATTATAGAAATTAATAAACATAATTAACATTAATTTTCTTCTGTATTAGATAAATATATTTTTCGAAATTTTTGAATTTATATTTAAAATTTTTTCAATTATAGTATCTCTCTAAATTTGAATTAGTAAAATTTTAACTAATTTCAATTAGTGACAGAATTTTTGATTGTAAATTAGTAAAAATTTTTAATAATAGATAAATAATAATTTCTACTACTTAATTATTAAAAAAAAGTAATTTCACTAATTACTAATAAATAGTAATTTCTACAATTTTATTAGTAAAATTTACTGATTCAAAAACAAAAAGTCAGTCACTAATTCAAATTAATAAAAATTTTTACTAATTCAAATTTAGAGGGTAAAATAAATTCTATCAAAAGTATTCAATATAAAATTTTAATTTTAACGTATACGGGTTTTTTATGAAGAAAATTAATTATTATAATTAATAATTATAATGATTATACTTGATGATTATAATAATTATAATTGATAATTGTAATAATTTTTTTCTTAAACAAGAAAATAATGGAATAAAGAAATAAAAAAATAATGAAATAAAGAAAGAGAAAGAAGTAAAATATTTAAAAAATTATTATTTTAATTCATGACAATTACTATTGATTGCAATAATAATTGAGTAATTAATAATAAAAAGTATTACAATTGCAATTATTTGTAGAGAAAAATAATTTATTCCATTTTCGGAATAATTTTTTCCTTTTTTTTGCGCAAAAAATACGAAAGATAATCTTGTCCTGTTTTTAAATTTTTCATACCTTTTTTTTGTTTCAATTTTTATTCGACTCTTGCTCAGTGTAATATTGCTTTGACAAAATTCTAGTACTATGTTATATATATTTTATATACCAGTTACATAGGCACTGGGCATTAGATCACATTTAACACACAATTATAATTACAATTCTTGTTGTTTGTGACTAAAATATTTTTCTTTCGGCTTTATTTTTTTGCCGAGTATTATGTTTTTTTCTCGTCATCGGAGAAATTCTGCTTGACTACAAAGTTCATAAAATTTTTTTTTTTAATTTATCCAAGAAAATCTCGTTATTTTTTTTCTATTGTTCTTACACAATAAGTATACAAATATAGTTTTGGAACCCTTTTTTGCATTTATTAGATTAGAAAAAGGGTCGCACATATAATTTCACAATTTGCAAATCGATTCGATTTTCTCCGCTCTTGCAAAATACAAATTTTTTGTAGTTTTTTTTAGTTATTATATAAACATATATACACATATATGTGTATAATAATTAAAAAAGCACAAACAGTTAATTTTTCAGGGATCTGAATTTTCCTATAAATGACTTTTTTCCTTTTTTATAATAAAATACAAATTAAATTAAAACTACAATTTTAATGGATTTTAAAATATTGTAGTGATGAGAGTAATAATTTTGAAAAAAAATTCTGTTAAAAAAATAAGTATTTGAAAGGAAAATATGAAAATTGTTTATGAAAATAGGCTTAGTTTACATTTGGGTTTTAAGTGGAATTTGCATGAAGTTAAAATTCCAATTGTTTTTGGCTCATCATTTTCAATATAATATAAATTTCTCTTTACATTCCTCTGTATTAAGAAAATATTTCAATTATTTCAGGGAATAAAGTTTTTGTATATGTGTATTGGAATAATTAAATTTATGATAAATTAATTATCAGATTAAATATTCGTCGAAAATATAGAATATTTTTTTCTTTTCTAGATAGTTTGAAATTTAACGTAAATTGAAAAATAAAAATAAACTGGAAATTTTTTTAAAAATATATTTCTTCGGAAGAAAATATTAATTTTGCCAAAAGATCCCTGATAGGACTAATATTGAGTTTATAGCATTCCACTTTTGTTTCATTCATTTCGTACAAGTAAAAATGCTTTTAAAAGGGAAGAAATGCATTTTTCTTCGGTATACTTCTCCTTCACTTCATTTTCAAACTGCTTTAATGTTTCTTTTCTCATGACAAGATGATGAAAAGAATTTTTATTCTTTCTGTATATTTAAAGCATTTACATGAAAATTGCTTTAATTTTTTTTTCAATTTATTGAAGATTAATTTGCAATTTCGTCGAGTCATCGTGAAAATTGCTGCTTAGATTGAGTAAAATTCTGTCAAACGAGAGAGATAGAGAGAGAGAGAGATGTTGGTCGCTCGAAATTTCACCTTACAGGAGAGAACAGGCTGTACCGTGCATTACTTCTGAGATGAACATTGGAGTTCCGGCTCCTAATCCACCGTCAGTTCCTTGATAGCCATCCTTTTCGAAATCGCAATCAAAGTAACGACTCTGCAAACAATTAGACGATGTAATAACTCTCTTATGTTCACGGTTTACTTTGCCCGGTCAACTGTGTTACTTATCAGCATTGGCAAAGCGCGCAATTAGGGGATTCGTTTGGCGGCGAGGGCAAAACTATTTCGCCAAGTATTATGTTCTCCCGCATGCATTGAATGAAGATAAGAACATGTGTACTCCCCAAAACTTGTAGCAGATGCACAATTGAGGAGAATAATTAATGGGCTTTCGGATGAAATTTCAAACTGTGTATTATCCCAATGGGAAATTTACAACTGGCGGAATACTGCGCCAGTATTGTCAGTACTGGCAGCTACGTTCACAGGTAGCACTGGCATAACGCTGTCTAGTGCTGGCATAACCCCTCTGATTATAGGCAAAATAATAATAAATATTTTTAACCTAAAAAAGTGATGTCAAAGTTGACTATTTTTGTAAAAATTTGTTTTTTTTTCACTATCCCACGATTATTAGTACCATATTATATATGGGAGACACGTTTTCTTGCATATCTTTAAACGCTTTTTCTGAATCTGCAATTGTTTTTAAAAAATTCAAAAAGGCTGAACCAATATGACGGAAGTTTTTTTTGGGTCGCTGATTACTTGATTACTAATATGTAGTCAGTTTTTAAAAATACAAAATGGCCGATCCAACATGCAGGACAATTTTTTTTTTAAATCAATTGGATACACTTGGAAATTGTTTCTAGGGGATTTTTCGGTTCACTAGTTACGAATATGTTGTCAGTTTTAAAAAAATACAAAATGTCCGACCCAATATGGAGGACATTTCTTCTACAAGTTAATGGCTTTCACTTAAAAATTGTTTCTAGAGGGTTGTTTATTAGGGTTGTTTATTACAAATTTATAGTTTGAATTGAAATTTTTAAGTTATGTAATGTAAATATTTTTTATAAGAATAAACGACCCAAAAAAAACCGACTGGAAACAATTTTCGAATGAAAGCTGCCAACATATTCGTAATCATCGACCAAAAAACACATAGTCATAGTCATCTTTGACATTACTTTTTTAGGGTAAAAATCAGTTTTAATTATTAATTATTATTTTTTCTATAATCGGAAGGGATTAAACAACAATAATGTCCAGAAGGTTTTATCTTTTTAAATGCTTCCAATCAAAAGTTCTTTAATTTTGGATCAACTTTTGGACTCAAAAAGACTAGAACATTTTTTGACGCAATTTTTTTTTTTGATGAATTCGAATCCGTTGTTAGATTTTCTTTAGCAAAGCAAATTTTAATTTTCCAGAAATTTTCAAGAACCAATGAAATCACGAACCAAAAGAGATAAGTTAACATCGTATAATCTTAAAATATCAGTATATGCAGAATCCTGAAAATTCTGTTTCCTGAGATTACATGTAATTATGGGAGTTTAATTAGGAGTTTATGCAAGAGACATGTTTTGACTTTGTTTATTAAGCAAACGCCTCTAACCACAGTTGGATCGTAGAAGGATAAAAGCACCTGCTAATTAACTTCTATGATTTATTTTTTTTAAAGTAAAATACATAATTATATTTTTTTCCCTTCGTCTATCTTAATTTCCAGCATTATTATAAAGATACTGTATAGTGTGGAATTTAGTTTACATTTCATATCTATCTATTCTATTTAATTCGTCAATAATTATCCAATTTAAAAAAATTTCGATTTAAAATTATGTCAAACTTTTATACAAAGAAAAAAGTTTTTTTAATAGTTTTATTCTTTTGGACTTACCTGACAATCAAAACATCTGCAGTGATCGCTCATTTTACAAGTGAGACCCCATTGTTTAGCAACTGCTTTATAAAGTTCCTTGCTGGATTTGTGCAAAATCTCTGGTCCCAATACAGCTTCTGTTTCACTAAATCCTCGATCTAAAGTTTGGTCTATTTCAGAGAGTATTTGTCCATCCTGGACATCTGATATTACACCCTCTTCATATACAGTTGACGCTGACCTCTCAAGTCTTGTCTTTACAAAAAAACGAAAAAAAGTGAAAAAGTAAATACCTATATATTTAAAAAAAATTATACAATTATTATAATTTGAAAAATTAATAATTTTTTCTTAAACAGAGTAATTTTCACATTGACTTTAACATTTTAGACAAAAAATTCAATAAGTAATAATCGTATAAGTAGTAAAAGAATGTTTCTGTCAGACGAGACTTTTCAAATTTTTGCAATATTTACGTTTCTATGACACTAGGGAATTATCCTCAGACTATAAAAATTATAATTTTATAATTAGTATTATAATCAAATGGAACTTTTATAATTATTGTAACTTATTTCCCAGTAGTACAATTACGTTTAAGTCAGACATTGTTATTATTTGTTGAAAACTTAATACCAATGAATTCAGTTAAACAACTAAGTTATCATTATAATTATTATTATTATTAATATTATAGAGTTAGGAGCAAGTGTAGTGAAAGACAAGTTACGAAGAACAGTATAAGTAGTACAATAGATGTTCAGTCAGCCACAATGATTAAAATTGTCAAAATGTATATATGCTGGTAGAAAATTAGCACTTCAATCAAACAAACTTTTTATTAACTTTAAAAATATTAAATAATATTATATAAAGTTTAATATCAGTAGTAAAAGCAATTTTTAGTACGACATATAATTTAATTAGCAAATAAACAAGTTTCCAGTTATAAAATACATGATATAGATAAAGAAAAGCTGTTTTAGTCAGACAAAATTATTATCAGTTATAAAATACTGTTTTAGTCAGCCTAAATTATCAAAATTTGATACGTGCTTAAATCTGTAGTGTATAACTTATTTAGCCAAATCATATGGTTTAAGTTTGCTTAATTCCATATTAATAAGTGTACAATAAAAATTGTTTACTGTGGTCGAAGTGACAAAGCATAATGTTTAGGTAGAAAAACGTATTTGAGATTAATGTTAACATTAATATCAGTTGCTAAAATTCTCGAAATATTGTATAACATAATTTTATTTGGACAAAATTGTTACATTTCGCTTTTTTAAATCATTAGTGCACATGTTTTATAGTGAGACCAAAGTGTTTAAATTCTATTAATTATTTTTTTAATCTTAAAATAAACATTTTTTACAGTTTCAATGAGGAAAAACTCATATTTAAACAGAGAAAGTTGTTTTGAATATTGGAAAAATATTCGGATCATTAGTATAACATTATTCCATCAGTTGGACAAAATGATTAATCGTTAAATATGTAAGTCAGTAGTGTAAAATTGTTTGAATCAAACCAAGTTTTTTACTATTTTAAAATTTCTTTTATAAAATAAATATGGTTTACTATAAGTATAGAAATATAATAAGTCAATGTAGAAATACAAATATTTAGTTAGACAAAATGCATAATATAAATTAGAAAAATATTAGCAACAATAGTATAGTACTATTTTTGTCAGACAGCATTCTGTCTTGAAAAAATGGAGTAAATTAATATGTAAATCAGTGGTGTAAAATTGTTTTAGGTAGACAATGTGGGTAAAATTAGAGGAATATTTAAGTCAGTGTATAGTGTCATAAAAAGTTGTGGGGTATTATTTTCACGACAATTATGTATCAGTAGTATTAAACCGTTATAGTCAGACCAAATGGTTTGAATTCTGTTAATTCAGTTATAAATATATGATAATAAATGCTGGAAACTGTGATTTAAGTAGAAATAGTAATATTTAGTTAGACAAACTGTCGAACTTAATGTAAATGTTAATATGTCAGTAGAATAATTTAATTGTAGTCAGACCAAATTGACACTAATGAAAATAGAATTATCTCAGTAGTAATATTTGAGTTTAGTCGGTTAAAATTGGTTAAATATATAAATAAGTAGTATTTAAGTATTTTAGTTAGACCAAATGGTTTGAATTCTGATAATTCACAAATAAATATTATAATAAATGCTGCAAAGTGTGTCTTAAGTATAGAAAAGGCAAAATTTAGTCACACAAACTGTCTAAACTAATTATTTTAGTCGTACCAACTGTTAAAAATTTTACTAATTCCCTTATAAATGCTAAAATAAGAATTTTTAAAATTTTATTTTAAAAAGAATTTTTTAAAATAAGAATTGTTTACTATGGACTAAGTAGAAATACAAGTGTTTAGTCAGACAAAATATTTACTTTAACAGGAATAATATTATCGCAGTAGTAAGATACGAGTTTAGTCAGCCAATGTGGTTAAAATTTGGTAAATATATATTATTAAGTAGTAGTATAGTACTTTAGTCAGACCAAATGGTTAAATTTCTACTAATTCAGTAATAAATTTTATAATAAATGCTGCAAAGTGTGATTTAAGTAGAGAAGGAAATATTTAGTCAGACAAACTATCTAATGTAATGCAAATATTAATATTGTAGTATAGTATAACTGAGTTGTAGTTGGAAAAAATGTTACATTTAGTATAATACTATTTTAATTATATAGAGAAAATCGATTAGTCGATAAATATATGTGAGTCAGTAGTGTAAAATTATTTTAGTAGTACTAACTGTTAAAAATTTTACTGATTCCCTTATAAATGCTAAAATAAATATTGTTTACCATGTTTTGAGTAGAAATACAATTAATCCAAAAATTGATTAATTTATAATTTTTTTGGGTGTTAATTTAAACTGCAACGTTTTTTAATACCTCTTAATTTACTGTGGTAAAACTGTGTCAGCCAGACCAAATTGTTGAAATTCTGTTAATTTAAGGGTAATTTGACTATAAATATAAAATGTTGAATACTCAAAGTAAGAGTGAAAGTGCAATGAAATGCAAAGCATCAGTGACAAGGTCAGTGTTAGTCAGACAAATTTGTTAAAATTATCGCAATTCTAGCACAAGTTAATTGTACATCGTAAATGTGAACAACAAACAGAGATCAGCCTGTTTTGGGAGTCAAAGGAGGGTCTAATTTTAAAAAATTGTATTCAAATCAGACCCTACTTTACGACTACATTTTCAGAGTCCAAGTAGGATTTAAATTTCGACTCGGGAAAATACGCAGTTTTACGAGGAGCAATAAAACAGATTTAAATTTAATAAATTAATTTTATAAATAAAAAAATTAAGACAGATTATAATTTAATAAATTGATTTTATAAATGAAAAAGAAATTAAAGCTTATTTAAAGTAATAAATTAATTTAATAAAAAAAAAGAAATTAAAACAGATATTTCAAAGAAAAAAACGAAAATTTCCCTTTCATAGTATCCACAGAGCACACAGACTACAAATATTATTCTATTAATTCAATAAATATCGCATCTAATAGTTATTTAACGACAAATTTATCAAGCTAAACCGATAGTATTAATTTGGTTGCTTGAGCGTGTCATTTAGCAGTTGCATAATTAACCGTGCTAATTAATTGGTGTCTAACTGGTATCAGAATCTTGTGTTTAGGACCAACTCGAAGGTATTGTTTCGTCCTTTTGTCAGGCCGATTGGCCATGCATTACGGTAAATTGCATGCGTACCTAATAAAGCGACTAGTGTTTGAATGCCCTTGTGCACAAGGGAGACTGCGAGAGAGAGAGAGGGGGGGGGGGAGAGTATGTTTTAGTAGACCGTATAATGAAGTGATTTGATTTTATAACGGTTTCACTACTATACACATATGTATATATGTATATACAGTGATAACGGGACGTTTGCGCAAGTCCTTTGAAATTGTCACTATATAGTAAAACCGTTATTATTTACGCAGGACAAAATCACAAAGAGAAAATTTTATTGACTTTAAATTCATTGAAATGAAAACAGAGATGGACATTAATGGCAATATAATGATTATGTCCTCGGTGTTCAATCGTTAATTAAACCATTTTGGACTTTAATAAATGAACTTTAATTATGCATATATAATTAATTTACATACAAAAAAATGTAGATATTCACTAAATTGAACATTTGTATTCAATATTCTGTTTTAATTTATCTCAACGGAATATTTTTTTCTCTCTTTTTTTCCTTTTCTCTTTAGCGTTTATCCTTTATATTTTTTGGTTTTCGTCGAAAAAAGCAAATTTTATATGCACATTTTTGAAATAAAGTAAATTTTAAATTATTTATTTTAGTTTTAAGTAGAAACAATAATTATTAGTCAGGCATATTGGTTTCAATTAAAAAAATACATAATATAAATAAATAAAATAATAAAAATATGTTTTAGTTAGATCAAATGGTTAATGTATCATTAGATTTTTTATTATAAATTATAAAATGTATGTTATTAACTGTGGTAGAAAAAAGTAGAAAAAATAATATTTATTCAGACAATAAATTGCTTAGAAAAATAAAAAAAAAAAATATTGAAAAAATATATGTATCAGTAGAATAATTCAACTTTATTAAAAAAAATATTATTGAAGTTTGATAAATATGTAAATCAGTAGTGTAAAACTATTTGAAATTAGAGCAAACAGTTAAAATACAATTAATTTCTTTATGAACAGTACAATAAATGTCCCTCACTAAGGTTCAAGTAGAAAATATTCTATTTAGTCAGGCAAAGTTGTTAAAATATTGGAAACATTAGTGTCAGTAATATTAAACCGTTTAAGTCAGACCAAATAGTTTGAAATCTGTTAATTCAGTTATAAATATGATAATAAATGCTGGAAACTGTGATTTAAGTAGAAATAGTAATATTTAGTTAGACAAACTGTCGAACCTAATGTAAATGTTAATATGGCAGTAGAATAATTCAATTGTAGTCAGATCAAATAGACACTAATGAAAATAATATTATCACAGTAGTAATATACGAGTTTAGTCAGACAAAGTGGTTAAAATTTGTTAAATATAAAAATTGGTAATAATTATTATTTAAATTACTCCAAATAATTCAATCTCTACTATTTCTTTTAAGTAAAGTAAAATATATGTCATTCACTGTGGTTCAATTAGAAAAAATTACAGTCGATAAACAATCCTTCCTCTATGAGGAAGCAATATGCGAGTTAGCAGTGTAAAATTATTTCAGTCATATCAAGTGTCTAAGTGTCTAAGTAAAAATACAAGAGTTTATTCAGTCTGTGAAAATCTGTGAAAAGATACTGTCGGCGCAGAGATCGATAACAACGCGTATCATCTCTGCATATAAGACGGTATCTACGAGTGCTGTGCAGGTCCTTGCAAGTGTCCCGCCAGCAGATCTCTTGGCGAGGGAAAGGGAAGAAATGTTTCTCTTTTCTAAAGAAAGCAGTTCCTGGGATGAGGAATTAAGACCAAGCAAGGGCCTGATCCGCAAAGAAGCGAGGCACAGGCTCATAGAAAGATGGCAGGAAAGATGGGATGGTGAGGGAAAAGGTCGATGGACCTATCGCCTTATCCCGGCACTCGCCACCTGGATAAATAGGAAACACGGTCAGGTTTCCTATTATTTGACTCAGGCGCTCACAGGTCACGGGTGTTTTAACTCGTACCTGTGTCGCTTTAAATTACGCGAGAACGAGGTGTGTGCATATTGCCAGTTCCCTGAGGACAACGCGGAGCACACCCTCTTCTCATGCAGAAAGTGGGACTTGGAGAGGCGGGCCATGTTAGAAGCTGTAAACAGTCAAGTTACACCGGAGAACATGGTATCGCTGATGACCCAGTCAGAAGAGAATTGTCGGCAAGTCGAGAACTTCATAATCTCGGTTATGTCGAGGAAGGATCTCGACGGCTGCCAAAAAGCGTAATTTAAACAGCTTTTAATTTGTTTTTTTTTTTTTTTTATTAATTTATTTTGTGATTTATTTGTCCTTATACATTTTTTAATTGTTTGTGTTTTTTATTCATCTTTGTACAGTTTTAGGTTTTCAATATTTTATACGCGTTTATTTTTATTTTTTTTTATATATCCGTTTATAATTTTATCTTTTGACTTTTTAAACTTCTTAAAATTTTTGTTTTTTATTGTTGTTGTGCTGTTAATTCCGCTTTTATATTGAAATAGTTTTAAATTTTTTAACTATTGACGCAGGAGAACCGCAGACACAGAACAAAGTCGCAGCAGCGATAGAGTTGGAGCGCCTCCCTCGAAGGCTAAAGTCTTACGACAGTTCCGAGGGAGGGTAAAGGGCTCCAAAAGAAGGGTTACGGGTTTTAGTGGGTCGGGCTGGTAGTAGGTCGCCAGTTTATTAAATTTATTATAACATTTATTTATTTATCCTTTTTTTAAATTCCCTTTTTTTTATTTATTTTACCAACCCCACATAACCTTGGAGTGCGGAATCCAAGGTATCTGTAAACAGATTTCCCAAAATTCCCTAAGCAAAAAAAAAAAAAAAAAAAAAAAAAAAAATAGTAGTTAAGTATTTTAAAAAGACCAAAGGGTTTAAATTATTCTACTAACTCTTTTGAAAATAGTAAAAGAAATTGTAAATGAGGTCTAAGTAGAAAAAGTAATATTTTGTCAGACGAAATGGTTATATTTTTATGAATATTAAAATCTGCAGTATATCATTTTTTAGTCAGATGAATGGTTAAGGATTTAACTATTTTTTGTTCTTCCATGCAATCTTATTCATTAGATAAGAATATGTAAGTGTTTCAAATATAATAATAGTTTTAATGATAGAATTAATTTTTTTAGCCAGATCAAATAGTCGTATTATACTAATTTCGTTATTAATAGTAAAATACATGTTGTAAATCTCTAGTGTAAAATTAGTAACAAAATGGTTAGAAATGTAGAAATATTTAAGTCAGTAATTAAAGGAAATGAATTTATCATTCGGTAATTAAATATTAAAGGTGAAAGAAGTTAACAATTTTTCTGAATCGTGGGCTTGTATCCCACCATGCTACCGTTTTTTCTGAGTTCTTTGATAATTTTGAAATTATTAATTAATTTTGAAAATATTTTTCAGATTAAGCAGGTTTCTGTATTAGGGCAGCTGTACTGTCTATTCATATGAAATACATGAGCTTATATTAAGAGATTTATTTGTGAGATTGTTTCGGAAAAATTGTTAACTTCTTTCACCTTTAATTTAAGTCAGTAAGTTGATTTTTGTCAGACCCAATAGTTAAAAAATTTGTAATAATTTGATAACATTTTATTAAATTTGTACGTTTTTAAAATCAAACGTAGGTACATTTTAAATATTGTGTTTATAAAATCGAAAAAATATAAACGATTCTTGAAGTTTGTGCCAAAAAGAGGAAAATTTTCAATTTTATTTATAAAAATTTCAAATAGAAAAATTTAAAGAGAATTTTTTCAATTGATCATAAAATTTGTAAACTCTTCAAATACGAAAATATCAAGAGATTTTAATTTTTCTCTTCGGTGTTTGGACATTTTCCAAAAGAATAAATAGCGAAAAAATAGTGAGAGAGAGAGAGAGAGAGAGAGAGAGAGAGAGAGAGAGAGAGAGAGAGAGAGAGCATTGAGATTGGCAAGTTATTCCAACTGAAATTACATTTACGCTCTGTGAGAAATTATTACAAGATTGAAAATTTCTAGGCAAGAAAAAAATGACCATTTTGACAAATTTTATTCGTTTCAGATCTTTTTTGAGTGATTAAAATAATATTTACTTCGTTCTCTTTCGTTATATTTTTTCCTTATTTTTTTGAAAGTTATATTTTTAGTTCACCTACATTTTAATCTTTTATTATAGAAAATATTTAAAATTGCAAACATTTTATAATGCTAAATCGAGATCAAACGAAACTTAAGGATTTAAGAAGAGAAAGATGAAGACAAACTCGAAAAGAAAAGAAAATTTAAAATAGAAACTTATTCAAATTTCACAACTGTTACCTTTGTCATGCAAATAATATATGCGAAGCGAGTAAATTTCAAGTTTCAATTTTTCATATTATTTCAATAAGACAGGTAAAACATGATAACATACATAAATCTTTCAGTTTTCATTGTTTTGAGATAGGAAAAATAAAAAGCAAAAATTGTAATTCATATAATAGTTTGTAAAGAAATTATTAAGAAAAGTTGCATTTGATAAATTTTGATCGATACTAATCAAAATTTCCTCAAGTGAATTTAATTCTTTTTCTGAGAAAATTTTCAGTGATTTTAGTAATTAGTTGATTCAAAATTTAATAAAAAAAAACAAGAATATTTTTTTTATCTATACTAAACCTAACAATTCTAAAGATATCAAGAAAAATATTTGTTTTTCATAATACAAATTTTGCTTTTTCTTAAAATTAAAATTAGATTAAGCAAATTTTTTAAAATAATTAAAATTTAATTTTGAATATATAAAAATTCATTGATAAAAACATTTATAATGAAAAAATTTTCAATGATTTTAATAATTAGTTGAATCAAAATTTTATGATAAAACTTGTAACAATAAGAATAATTTTGTGATTGACAATAATTATTTTTGACTAACTAAATTACCTAATAAACATCATATAAATTTCACTAAAAGAAATTCTTTTTCAAAATACAAATTTATAGTTATCAAATTTAATTTAGTATTATAAAAAATTTTATTCATTTAATTTGATTAAAATTTTTTCATTATCTAAAATCGAAATTTTATTTTATAAAATTCGTAACAAAAGTAATATAATTTTTTAATTCATTAAACCAAATTGATTTTTTGTAATTTTTATAATGAATTTTAAAAGCATGTTGTAATTACCTCCTCGAGAACGTGTTCATAGGATGGTGGCGGTGAATATGGTATTGTTGAATTTTGCGAAACAATGCTACTGGCTCCGGTGTTTTGCAATTCCGAAAATCCCTCCGAATCTGTCGACATATTTGGAAGCGTGTGTGGATCATCAGATTCAACACTACTGCTACTACTTCCCCCACTTCTTGATTTTCCCATCTTGGAAAAGCGAAGCTTAAACGGCGCCAGTTTGATATCTTTATTTTCACCTGGCACCTGAAAAAATACTGAAAAAACAAAATTTTTTAAACATTTTATTCCACGAAGTAAGAAATTTTTTTTTTTTTTTTGAGGTCAAACGAAATTTTATTTATTTGTTATCATTATTATTATTGTTTATTATTATTATTTATCGAAGATTATCGAAAATCATTCATGTTACACTCAGTAAAAATGTATTTCATTAAAAAAGGAACTAATTAGAAGCGTCTTTATCATTATTTTTCTTTTGTTTTTAATGTCGAGTTTAATTAAATTTAGAAAATCGATAAATTCAAGTATTCGATGCAAATAGGGACAAGAGTATGTGCGTATTCATATCTTAATATTAATATTCTATAATAATTCACCTCCAATATTTATAAAATTTTCTATAAAATTCAACCTCATCTTTCAGTAGATTTCAATTCCATTTATTAAAATATTATGTATACCTATTAAATATTAATTTTACAACAACAATTTTCAACTACAATTTTTCCATTTTTCCTTTATCCCCTTGTTGCTTAATATACTATTTTCCCTCTCATAATTTTTTTAGTATTAATAATAAATATAAAATTATAAAGGAAAATAAAATAATAATTAATAACGTAATAAATTGAAAATAAATAAAATTATTTATAAATTGGTCAGAACAGTTTCGTGACCTTGAGAAGATGTGTGTTAATAGAACAAGTTATCCTGCAATGCTATACACCTGTATACATATATAGGTCAAATACACGAAATTGTAAAAAAAATTTTTTTTCAACTTCCTTTCTTTGGAAACGCATATTTTATCAATTATTTGAATCTAATTTGAAGAATTTTCCAGTTACATCTACACACAGGTATCATTTGCCCGGAGACAGTGTCGTTGTCGTGGAAACGCATCGAATTCATCTGCACATCGACCTAGTGACCGAGTTTCCAACTAGCGACTGTCGTTTCTAGTTCTCTCGTGTGTTGCCTCTGAACCCAATCGCGATATTGTCACATTAAATTTCAGCTACATTATTGCAATTTTATTCAAAGTATATATGTATATATAGAAAACGTTAATTTCCAACCAAATCAAGATTACACAGTAGATATAAAATTAAAATGAGACGCGACATGCTTTTTATTTACTGAGATGAAATTTTTAGTTTTTTTGGGTTTAAAAATAAATACTAAATAAAATAAAGAAATAAAATAAATATAATAAATAATATACATAAAATAAACACTATAAATTAAATAAGTAAAGTAATTATAAAATACATATAATAAAAAAATCAAATAAATAAGATTTTATTTAAATTCTGCAATATATGTTAATTATTTTATTAGTTTCTAAATAATTTAATAATAATATGAAAAATATGATTACAGTAAGATAACATTTTCTTTAGTAGTTAGAGAATGTAAAATAAGGTTCATTTCAGTAGTAGAAGTCAGTTATGGTCAGACTTAAAATATAGATTGCAAAAAGTGTTTTATTTCGTTATTTTAATTTGTATAACAAAAAAAATCAGTTTTTTCGTATTTTTACTCTTGTTTCTTTTAACTTTAAAAAAAATTTTTAAAAACTTCTAATCAACTTATGACTTTTTGGTTTTCACCATCTTAAAGAGCGTTTCAAACTCTATCCAAATCAACAAACAAGTAAAAAATGATTTTTTTGACACGTAAGGTCCCTTTTCATAGACCAGGTCACAATATATATTGTTTAAGTAGAGAAAATAACAAACATTCAATCAAAAGGTTCGAAATAATTATCTAAGTAGTACAAAACCATTTTTGTCAGACAAAATGTTCAAAAGCTGCTGAAAAAATCTACTAAAAAATACCTATTTCAAATATTAATTGCGAACTATTTTAATTATTAAATAAAACATAAAAAAATTTAGTAAAATAAATTCAGTAAAAGATTGCTATTTTTTACTATATGTATAATGAAAAGTATGTAATAAAAAGAAAACTTTTTTTGTTCTATGAAATTTTGGTGATTAGTTAATTGGACAGGAAAAAGATTGAATAACATAAAGTGTAGTTCGTTTGAAATTAAAGGGGAGAAGCTCGTTATTTGTGAGGTAAGTAGATAAGGACAATTCTGGTGAGACCGCGTGCATTTGAGGGAAAACAGTAAAAGAGAAAAATGTTAAGAGGATTTTACTACTTTTTCAATTTTTTTTCTTACTTTTTTTTAAATAAGAGCTTACCATAAGATTTTCACTGGATAATCATTTGGTCTTTTTTGTTTTGAAGAAGGATTTATTTTAATTCTTAAAAATTTAAATTAAATATTTCTTTTTTCTCGAATGTCATTCTTTTTTTCGGTTGAAAAGAAAAAAAATTGTTGAATTACCAACAAAAAAATTATACTTTCAACGCATTAAATCGCTGTTCTTGGCAAAGAATCAATCGTGTATTATTTTTTTCTGGAGTTTAAACTTCTTTTATTAGTTAAAAGGACATACAGTTTTGCGATTTTTTTTAAACAGGTCATTTATTTTAATAGGTTAATGTAAAAAACAATCTACTGTAATATTATTAACAATATTATTAAAATTTACAATATTAATTAAATTCTTATTATTTATATTATTAATATAATAACAATAATAAAAATAATATTTAAAAATTAATATTATACATTATTGTCAACAAATATTAACAATATATTTAGATAATTTAATTTCATAGGAGAGAGTGGGGTAAAGCGGCCACATGACAGTTCCCCTATTGGGTTAAACTGACAGGTATGTCGCTTACAAATTTGAAACAACCATGTTAGCACTTTGTACCTTTAGATAAGAAATTTAAATTTGTTTTTTACAGTCCCCTTCCATTGTAAGTGATAACAATTATAAAATTTTTTATAACACATAAACAAAATATTTGTTAAAATTAAAAATAAATGAAAACAAAATATTTATATAACAAAGTAAAATTAAAAAATATATTTTTACCCCAATAAACTTGTTTTAAAATTAAAGGTGGAAGAAGTTAACAATCTTTCCGAATCAATCTCTCACAAATAAATCGATACATGAAATTCAGGAGCTTATATTCAAGAGATTTATTTGTGAGAGATTGCTTCGGAAAGATTGTTAACTTCTTCCACCGTTAATATTAATTGTCGAATGATAAATTCACTTGCTTTAATTGTTTTAAAATTGTTTAATAAATTTAATTGAAATTTTCTATGTAAATTTGTTTAACAGTATGAAGAAAACTGACAATCAAGAAAAATATAAGGAAAAATAGATTTTTTTTTACAAATCAATCAAAATTTTCTATTTTGAACATTTTTAACTCAGAAAAATTCCTTTCATAGTACTTACAGGAGATTGGTTCGAAATTCCAAGAATATTTTCTGTTGGAATTCGATCGAAATTTTATAATAGTCAAATTATAAATGATGTGGACACTGAACACTATTAGCCCTCCGTCACACACATGAGAAAAAATTACGACTTTATTTACACACGTTTAGAAGGAATCCCTCACCACATTGTAAAAAATAAGCAACATTACAACATAAACAAAGGAATCAACAAAAATTTGGTTTTAACACAAACATACAAATATGTAGTGAATTATTCTAAATTATAAAATAAATAAAATTAATTTTCGGTCTCAAAAATAAAAATTAATTACACGAATGCACATCTTCGAAGGAATTCCACTTGACATGTAAAAATAATGTAACATCTCGTGTAACATTAACAAATAAGCAAAAAAATCATTAAACAATTCATTTTAATTATATTTATAATATATAATTTTGTCATTAACCAACAGTGGAACAAAAAATGTTTTGAAAACTTAATTTTTTTATTTAACATAACCTCACTTTTTCGAGTTTTTTCTGGCTTTGAAGCTTCATAATTAAATATTAATTATGTTTAAACTAAATGTTTTTTTTATAAATGTGTTGAGGAGTAAATTGTCGAAAGGTATAGAAACTGATTATATTATGCAATGAGGAAAACAAAAGTTATTTAAAAAATACTGAAACCGTAGAGGGAATCCCTCCCTAGGTGTGTGACGGAGGGTTAGGGGGGTTTTTTTCTATTTTTTTTACAAAAATGTATATTTTCACGTTTATTCATTTATCGATGGATTTTAATTTTTTTATAATTATCATATTGCTTTTCTGTGAATCCATTATTTAACAATAAGAATATTTTTACCTAATGTTGCAATTATCAGAGTAGATAAGACAAAACTTTTTATCCTTGATTGAAATTTCATCTATTTTGACTTAGAAATAACGCATTTTGTATATTTACTTAGAGGAAAATGTTTGTTTAATGAAGTTCCTGAAAGAGATTTAGATGAATATAAATTATGTTGCGTTTAGAGTTTCCATTTACGACAGCACATTAGCTCCAGATTAGCTTGTCTAATCTAGTCTAAAGCCATGCGAAATCGTTATACGATCAATTAACACCACATTATCTTGATAAATTGGTTTCACGTTAGGGATGATAAAAATTCTCATTATTTTCTTTTAAAACAAATTTAAAATCGTAACTGAAAATAATAATAATGAAAAGAATAATAATACCAGTAGTAATAGATAAAAGTAAAAGTGACGATAATAGTTATTAAAAATAATAATAAATCAAATAGTAATAATAATAAACAATAATAATAGTAATAAATAATAATAATAGTAGTAGAAGATAAATGTAAAAGTGACAATAATAGTTATTAAAAATAATAATAATAATAATAACAAAAAATTACTAATATTTTATCAAAAGAAACTTTATATAAGTTGATAGTATATTTAATAAATAAAGAAAATTTTTATAAGGAGTTCTTTCCTTTTCATAAAAAAAGAAAATATACTTTTGTAAAGCAAAAAATCTTTTGTTATAAAAAAATCCAATAATCGATCTCTAAACGACTTTGTGCAATTTTTCCACCAACTGGTAAATGGCTCATTGAATACACACGGTTCTGACACTGCAATTTATAAATTTTTTGTGCAATTTTAATAAAACTTGTCGAATTTAAAAAAAAGAATTTC